TTTAAAAATTATGTGAAGTAAACGTTTTTTATTTTTTTAAACGCATTTAATGAAAGAGTACAAACATTCGTATTATGTTTCAGGAACGCATTTCCTTGAGCATTTTTCCTTCTACGACTTGAAAGATCTCGATGATTTTCAGCAGTACCAACTTAATTCGCTCTTGACTCTATAATCTTCCATAGTTTGCATATTTCTGCCGAAGTTATTTTCATAGTTTTATTAATTAGACATATTTTTTATGAATATAATTGTTCATTGTTTGTTTTTTACAAACTTCAGATAATGATGAGATAAATAACTGAAACAAGCTAGCTAATAGGTTCAAAGTTTGATGAATGGATAAATGGATAATATCGATTTAAAAACCTCAATGAATGTTTGGATCAATAGTTGATTCCATTTAGGGGGTTTAAATTTTTCAAAAAACAGATGGATAATGTCAGTTTGAAAGCATAATTATATGTTTATAAAGACAAATTGTCATTTGCAAGATTTCTTCAGCAAATGGAGTCATGAAAATATCACTGAGTTCAGTTTCAGATGACGCTGTTAAACTACTAAGATTTTTTGCGTGTAAAAGTACAGAATTCAGTTTTCTTTGGTGCGCTTTTGACAGGTTCCTGTCGAATAGCATTTCATTGATGTGGCAGAGAGAAATGGTGATACTTATCCATAGATGAGTAAAATTGTATACGACGAAGTGATGGGACATGTTGGTAAGAATCAGAAAACTTTTCATATTAAAATTTATCATTTTGTTTTCGTCAAAAATTTGTAGATACTACTTATCATGCAATACTAGTTTCTTGTATTTAAACAATACTTTCACTTTCATTTCTGCAAGATATTAGTAGGTTTTAATTTTTGTGCATTCACGAAAGGACTGTTGCAAGCTATACAGGATGCATTTCCTAGATATGATACTCAGAACTAGTTCATGCCTGAAAGCAGTACAAGTATTGAAATTCCACAAAATGAGGCATCATAAATTCATTACGATTCTATCTTTTGCATTATAACGAATTGATAAAAAATGTTTTGGATTAAAAAAAATTCTGTCTGCAATCTTTTAAGGCTTAGACTCAGTCACTTTCTAGAACTTAACTCAACTCTCTTTTTGCATTTGCTTTTGGCTTTTTTTGTATTTTTTTTCAGGAAGAAAGGAATCTAATTTTCACTGCACTGTCTGCTTACAATCATTTGCTCAAGGCAATAGCATTTAAAATCGAGCTATCCCTCTTATTTTCCTGATCATTAAAATTTTCATGAATTAAAAAAATTCTTCGTGCAAAGCATGAAAGATGGAGGTACAGAAGCTTGCTGAATAAACTTCCATCTCCAAGAAAGTTTCGAAGAAGACAATGCGGATTTCAATATACACTTGAAGGTAAACCCGTCTTAGTTTTTGTTTGCTATTATTCTTGCTGTTACTAAGCAAAGTATTCAAAGTGTTTATGCAATTACTGTATAATCCTATTATACTTTAGCAGATCAGAGACCTCAGGTAGATTAATACCTAATTCATTCAGAAGCGATATGCACATTACAAACACACATACACATACACATCCACAAGCACACATGCATGCACATTTCAAATCATAAGATCAAATCAATTTCCGGCGTATATTTTGCATTTGGAAAGATTCGTTCATCAGTGCAATACAATAGTCTACATCAGCCAGTCAGTTCGATAATTATTTTGATCTGCGTTCAAAATCGTGTTGCTGAGGAGTTGGGTACACATTGCACTGGTTGACCTTTCATTCCAGTATTCTTTTGACCTTATTCTTATGATGTGTTAGTTATTTACTCCTGTTGTCAATGAACTGTTGGAAACTACTTCATAAGCTTTTTAATTGAATTTTGGCTGCCTATATGAACGGAATGCTTTTTAAAGGTTTGTGGCTTGTGCAAAATATGCGTGATGTATTTGTAATGTGCATGTGCACTTCTGAATGCGCGTGAATCAGTGTGTGTGCATTCGTTTGTAGAAAAAATTTTCTAGTTTTTTATCAGGAAATAGTAAAAAATAATGATTCCTCTTCCAAAACAACTCAAACTTTCATAGAGCCATTCTTCCGATTGTTAAATTTCTTAGATTCTTTTAATGTGTTAAATTTTTTAACACAATTCCGTCAACAAGGACCTTAAGAACGTGACCTCCATACTAATTGCTACGTGTTTTATGATTTAATAGAGCAAATCAGCAATCATGCTGAAAACAATGAATCTTATTACATTTGTTTCAGTGAACATTTTATATGAAATTTGAAAGAAAATTTGCTGCTTCGGAAACTGAGCAAATAAATGGTAAGTCAATAATATTATTAAAACGTACACGTCACCATTAATATATCGCAAATAAATAATATATTAATAATGATCTTTGCTTTAGAACTGATATCAATAGTGTACTATAAAAAGTGTGTGGAATATGATAGAGGATGCATTTTTTTATTAAGAATGAAAATAATACATGAGAATTCTGAACACAGAACAGAGAACATTTAGGTAGTACGAGCATATTTCTTCCATGAGAATACGTTGATTATCTCTTTGGCAACATTTATTGTTGAAAAAATGAATTACGGAAGGAAGCGTGCATCTCAATTGTCCGTTCGTAGTATTATTGCACAAAGTTAGGGATCATACTACTCTATGTACAGTTTAATCCTAGCAACAAATCAACTTAGGACTCATTTGAATATTTCTCAAATGTTGTGGTAACTATTACGCATTAATTGCACAAAATTTTATTGGTCACAAAAATTTCCTCCTAGTAGTATGTTCTTAGCTGCGCGTTTATTCATTGACTACATTGCTACAAATAATAAAATCGTAGGAAGTTTTCACGCATATCTCACTAATAAAACACTTACAGCATACATAATCACTGCAAAAATAAAAACTCATCCTTAACTTGACAGTCCCACCAATTTATTTCTAATATAGCTTGATGATGAATGGAATGAAATCAACAAAAAACAAGCTCAAATTGAATTTACTCGCGAAGCCTTTTTTTAAGCTAAAAAAACTAAAGGACGCGTTGTTATACTAGGCAACTTGTTTTACTTGTATATAAACAACAAACTGTACACAAATTTTTACCTTTGCTTATATTATTATAGAATAAGAATGCAAAATCAGGCTAGAATGATGTGAAAATAAGAGACCGAAATCAATTACAATACATTTGTTATAAAAATGCTTCTTTTTTTATTTTCACTACATGTAACAACAATTCACAACCTAAAGTGATAATCCCAAATTTTTAGGCAGTATGAAATGTGCTTTTGCTTAATAAGCTCTGTAATAATTAAATCTACATGAGAGAAAAATTAAAATCTAAAAATCTACATCTGTTTGACTCTGCTTTATTTCTAACAACCGATAATCATTTTTACTTAAGATATCTTTTCTCACTTCAAACTTCATTTAAATATTTCTTATTTTTGTGATAGAAACTAAAACCCTATATAACCTTGTATTTCTGAGACATAAGAAAACATTTTAATATTATATAGGAGAGCAACACTGAATAGACAAAATAAATCTATAAACACATGATACTGCATGAACATACAAAATTCATAGTTTATATGCACGATATCATGAAAAATAAAATCTGTGGAGTTAGTTATAGATATAATTGCCACTAAATGTTCTGAACATTTTAGAATGATTCTCAGTATCGATATGCCCCTAATATGTATCTAAATAAAATATAAATAATACAGTTTATGATAAACAAGTACACAGAAACGCACTCAAAAATTTAGGCAGAAACCATACAAGATCCCGCACGACAAACCTCATTTTGCTCTAATAACTCCTTTTACTATCAGTCTTCAGGAGAAATCGATCGTTTAGCCGAATGGAATTTTTTCCGACGACTACTGTCCTGAAAATTGAATCCTTGCAGCACACTTTCATTATAAGATTACAAACCGTAATGAGATAGTAAAGCAGGTCAAAAGAACAAATATTCAACTCTTTATCAAAAACTTACTCTATCTTCTACAGGACTAGAACTGCCTCGTAAACTTGTAACAGTAGATTCTTTAGATTCCTTCCCTGAATCCGCAGAACACTCTTTGCCCAACTCCTTTGATTCTGCAGAGGCCTTGTCAATCTTTGATTCAGTTGGAGGAAATGATCTTGAAGTACTGGCATGACCACCATCACCAGAAATTTTGTTCCACAAAACTTCTAATAAAACCGAATCGTTGAAGATTTCAGAACCATCGATATTATATTTCTTAAAATACCAAAATTACTAACAAAATCTAGTATTAAAAATACAATAGTCGTAGAAGCACAGTTATATGAAGAGCACCAGAAACTAACCCTTGCATTGCCACACAAAAGCCTGACATCATTCCCCATATCCTGAACACTGTGATATTTACCATCTTTAATTTTGCGTTTTACTTTATTGAGATCCATTGGTTTTTCAATTATTTCATAATAATCTGGTAGTTCTCGTCTAGAAGGCAACTGTTCAAATGCTGCAGCTAATTCCTTCCCGCTGCTAAAAACTAAACTTTTCAAGAATATAGCCAATGAAATTTGGATAAAATATGAGACCCATTCTTGTAGAGTAAAAAAATAAAGGTAGATCAGAAATGGGCTTAACCTAGTTCTATATTTTATCAATGCTTCATAGAGCTTCGTAAGAAGAGAGAACATTTCAGGAGATGCCTTCTTTCGCCTTGGTTGCTCATCATCATCTTCATCTGGAGATGGAAATCACAGTATCCTCTACAAATGAAAAAACGTAAAAAATCAAATAATCTGAGTATCTTACCAATATGACGCCTTTTCCTACCCCGCTCTTTCCTACTCTTTTTCTTCGTTCTTTCCTCGTCATCGTCCTCTTCATCCTCTTCATCAATATCTTCATCGATACTCTTAAGCCAATCACGATCCGACATCAGATCCTAATAATGCGTAAACTAAAAATCAACTATTCCGGAACTTTCTGAAATGTTAGAGAGAATTCACCTGTGAGTAATCGACTTCTTTCCGCTGCCTACGTCCGATTGGTTCAAATGCAAGTTTGGATTTCTGAGGCTCTTTTTCTTCATCAATGAAATGTTGTGATGCTCTGACGATACCTTCGGGGATCTCACTATCTTCGATAAGTCGAGGCTTACGACGATACTCTGCTGCCTCTTGTCGACGCCGTTCAATATCCATTCTCTAAAATGTGAATGATTTGAATACTACCAAAAAATCCGTTACTCATTTTGAATCATGAAACGACTTATGCAATTGTTTTTCATATATGCTTACCTGAAACAAATCAAACTCTTCTTCTGAACGAGCAACCATTTGGTTGATTGTCTCATCATCAGGCACTTCATCCTCATCATCGTCTTCACTTTCAGCTCTAAAAATTGCTTAAACTCTTGTAGAACAGTTTAGACTTATATAATGATAACACATCAAAAACTGTCTTCAATAAAATATCACCTTATAATCTGTTCCAGCATTTGACGACGTTCAGCTCCAGTAGAACGCTGATCAAATTTACCAGCTTGGATTACCTTTTCATCTACATTCAGCTTATAACGCGCAGCTGCCAAAATTTTCTCTTCAATGCTATTGACAGTAACTAATCTCAAAACACGCACCTCACGTGATTGTCCAATACGATGGGCACGATCTTGTGCTTGCATATCCTACACATGAAAAACACTTCCAGTAAAACAATTACAAATAGCAAACGCAGTATAAATGTGCATTTTAATAACGTACTGTTATGAAAAATCGCCTTGTTTCATGAAAAATGAATCATCATAATTTAATAACAAACTGAATGCATGCACCTGGTGGGGATTCCAGTCTGAATCAAATATAATTACAGTATCTGCAGTCTGCAAATTCAGACCCAGACCACCAGCACGAGTTGATAACATAAAGATAAAATACTCGCTGTTTGGTGCATTGTACAATTCCAAAAGTTGCCCTCTTTCATCAGGTTTTGTGCTTCCATCAAGACGAAGATATTTGAATTCTGAAAAGCAAAACAGATCCATCATTGCCAATTTGATCCAACAAAATAGCCTTACCTCGATAATTAAGATAGTCCTCCATGATTGTCATCAAAGATGTCATCTGGCAAAACATGAGAATACGATGACCGGAAGCTTTTAATTTCGGAAGAACGCGGTCCAAGAGTTCAAATTTGCCACTTACACGATATAAATCTTTTCTGCAACACAATTTTTCAAAAAAATAAAATAAAGAAAAAAACACTTGCGAAGAAGATGCCCTTTAAAATCAGCACAGAAATACATTACGAAATCGTACCCTGAAACGTCAGGTACCTTCCAGAATTCACGGCATTCATCTTCAACATTTTCAAACAAAAATGGATGGTTACAAAGTTTCCGAAGATGAACTACAGTATTCATCAGCGCTCGTCCACCAGCCTGTAAAATGGAAAACTGCATCTTGAGTTTCCAACTACTCATAACCAAATTGAGATTGTCATAAAAATAAAACGGACATGTTTACTGTCGATGAGCAAGCCTTTCTGCATATGCTGATATAGAATTCGTTGTAGTGCACTCATATCGCATTTAATCACATACTCCGTTTTTTCTGGCAGTTGACTTTCTACCTCCTTTTTCAATCGTCGAAGTAAAAATGGACGCAGAACCTAATATCATTTATTTTGAACTACAGAATCCAATGCCAAATTGTTTCAATAAAATCAAAAGATCTGAAGAAATTATCATGCAAAGATGATGAAAAATATCATATGCAATTAGATGTAAAAAAAAGCTGATGTTCTACATATTGCAGTTTTGAAGAATGTTTTAGACGAATGGAATGCAGTATTGACAAACCTTGTGCAATCGTCTAATAATTAACATAGTTTCTTCTTGATTTAATTCAACTTTTTCACCTGTTGTCGCAAACGGAGCATTGAACCTATAATGCAACAAACACAATCGAAAAAACTAGGAATTTCTGATAATTAAAAATAAAAGTAAAAATTTTTGATAACTCAAAATAAGCTGCTTACCATTGTTCAAAAGTGCCACAAGAGCTGAAAATAGATGGAAGAAGGAAATTTAGCAATGCCCAAAGTTCAGGCAACTTATTCTGCAACGGAGTTCCAGTAAGCAGTAGGCGATGTTGAGCAGTAAAATAACCATTTAAGACTAGAGTTAGCTTACAATTGTGGTTTTTCATTCGATGGCCTTCGTCAATGATCATATACTTCCATCGTATCTGCATAATAAAAATAAGTATAACTTGAGAGAAAAATATGGAATAATGGCTTGACCTTTTGTGCATGAAACTCCTTTCCTGTCTTAATGGTACAAAAATGAATTACCTTTCCTAAAAGGCCTTTCTCTTTTAACACATAGTCATAAGTGGTCAAAAGCACATTGAAAGCATTGCGACGAATAGAAGTCTCTAATTTTTTACGAGCATCCTTGTTACCCTTATATACAATACTCACAACGTGCGGTGCCCATTTTTCAATTTCTAAACTCCAATTTGCAATTGTCCTGCAATTAAAATTGGCAAAAATTTTGAATCTCTAAATTGGAATATAAAATTAGATGAAATCAAAAAAGCTTACGACAAAGGAACTATGATTAAATACGGTCCGTTCAATTTTTTGACTTCCATCAAATAGGTAACAAGTGCGATTGTCTGAATCGTTTTCCCTAATCCCATTTCATCTGCTAGAATCCCATTAAGATTGTTGTTATACAAAGATACCATCCATTCCAATCCTTTTAGCTGAAAAATTATTTGCCAATTGCATCGATTGAAATAAATTCAACTAATATTTTCAGA